ACACACACACCACTTAGCGCATTATACAGGGTGGTCCAAAATTATGAGGACCGCGTGCGCGCGCAGTCATATCCACTTTTTTCCGTATCGCTCCATTTTCATCTCGTTTTCTGTGCACTATGTGAAAGGGTACAATGTCTTCTTCCTAATGAAACCAAATTTCATGAAGTTCTCAAAACTAGTGAAATAACTACTTCACTTTAGTCAGTCCTCAAATTGAACTCACTAGGGGCTCTGGCACGTTACATCTAGCGCAGTCTAACCTATCAGGGAAGCCCTTATGAGCAACAGTTCAACTCTTCAATAAGTTTGGAACCACCACAGATGGAAAATTCGGGGACTCGAAAGTTACAGTTACCACCAGGATAATTATCAGATGCAGAAACTAGGTCTCCCCTTGTCGACTTTCGTACACCCAAAATGAAAAAAATTGATGTGAAAACCCAGCCAGACACTCTAAAGACTCCACATCTGTAGTGGATAGAAAGCCACACGAGTAGTCTACTTGGGACTTTTACAGGACCGAGCACCCAAGAATAAAGCAAAAATTCTCTAAAAAGCGATTTTTCGAGTTCGTTGCTTTCGAAGAATTGTTACAATGGAACCTCCACCTAATAGCTCTAGATTTCTGTATTTCACACCCTGGATGCAAGCGCAAATAAATGCCCACAAAAGTTTGATTCCCTGAAGAAGGCAGAGCAGAAGGCCTGGAAACATTTGGACACGCCTCAGTTGCGTGCCACCGCACGCGCCATCCCCCTTCATCCGAAGGCTCGTGTTAACGGGGAAGTGGCAGATTCTGGAATTACTTTGAGGTAAGAGTTACAAATACTTCCCAGAAGTTGGTTTGTTCCATCAAGCTACTATGCGTTTTTAACGACACAATGTCTTGGTCCTCATAATTTTGGACCACCCTGTATATAGTAGGATACTTTCACCTCGAGTCTCGAATAGGTTTCAAAGCTTCTGAACGTCAGGAACATCCATTCCAGGTGTTCTGTTCGGACTGTGAATGTGCACTGTGTCGGGAATGTTTTTCTGTGATGCATTTGCATAAACGAAATCGCTCTCATCGTGTAACTTCGCTGGCGCCACCACCAGCTCGTTTGGAAGAGATCGATATTCATCAGGGTTGTGCGAGAATGCGAGTGGCGAAGTCTTTTGGTGCGTTTTTCCACAACTACTTTATTTGTTTTTTATTTGTTATTTCTTGTCTATTATTTTTTATCTGCACTGGGCCGCGTAATAACTTCCACTCCCACCACGCAATATCCCAAGAACTCGTATCTAAATATGTTTTCGAAAAAGGCACCATGTTGGAAATGTGAAGCAGGAAGCAGAATTGTGCATAACAATACAGAGTTTCAACCAGAAAGTGCAACAGTTTTTGATCTTTATTTTCTGGAAACACCCGTGTTGCCTACCCCACAAAACCATACTTCCACCACATGACTGCGCTGCACTTCATTTTTGCTGAATGAAAAATTGTTGCACATCATTCCTTGCAATTCCTTAGGCGATAGCAAAGCGAAACTGCTATCAAAGTTTCAGAAAAAAAAGGAAGTTATAAGCAAACATTACAAGAAATGTCGAGTGTCGATACACACTAAGATTTGGTCGAGGCAATTAATCTCTTTGAGGACCTTGCAGGATATGTTGCTGTAAAAACTCTGATTGCTTTTCGACTGAGTGAGTGGCGTATCATATGAAAATAATGCATTTCTACCAAGTCGTATACAGAAATCTTATCTTCTCCAAGTTAATGTCTCAATGGATGCAGTTCACTGTGCTTTTTAGAACTTTCGTGGTATTCCTGTTTGGGAATTGGGCCAGATATCTTTTATGATGAGAGACCATAGCGTACTTAGAACGTGACCCCGAGTAGAGTGAAATGATCTCGGGATCTTTTCTTGGCTTCTATGTCTGTCGCGAAATTCCCTAGCTCCTGAAGATCCGTCCTGGAGAGACCGGGTCAAGTGTGGGATGGGTGGGCAAGGTCTCGCGAAGTACAAAACACACATCAGCTAAGCGGAGCCCCGCCCACAGTGGGCGTGGCGTGCATCGAAATGAGTGGTACTGACGACCAAGATTTCAATTTCACCAAAACAGCCTCGAAACTGGGCCAAAAAGTGGGTAAAGGTGTGCATTGGTAAGTCACATCGAATTAGGGAGACCCACCCCGGTGGGCGGGGCGTTCTCCAAAAAAGCAGTGCTTTATGAAAAATTTCATAACTCGGTTGGGAGAAAGCCTACAGAGCAGAAAAAATTGGTGTAGGGGAGCAATGTCTAAGGTGTTTCCAGCATACATGACGTGGGCGGAGGCCCGCCCACAATGGGCGGAGCGCGCTCTGAAGTGTACAGCGTTTTCTACAAGTCCTCATAATTCGGGTCCAAGAAGTCTTGGAGACCGGGAAAAGGGTGGATAGAGGTGGGTGGAGGAGTGGAGGCCAACTGTCATCGGTGGGCGGGGCATGACCAAAGTGGGCGGAGTTTGCGACGAAAATTCATAACTCGGCTCCAAGAAGTCCCGGAGACCGGGAAAAAGGTGGATAGGGTGGGTGGGGGAGTGGAGGTCAACTGTCATCGGTGGGCGGAGCTTGCTTGCTAAGCTAAAAATTGGTCCAGAGACAGTGCGTAAACCGGGAAAAAAGTGGATGGAGTTTAGCCAAAGAAATTAGTCATATTTCTCTAGTGGGTGGAGCACGACCAATGTGGGAGGGGTTTGCTGGAAATTTTTTTAACTCGGTTCCAACAAGTCCTGGAGACGGGAAAAAGGTGGATAGAGGTGGTGGAGGAGTGGAGGTCAACCGTTATAGGTGGGCGGAGCATAAATAAAACGGGTGGAGCTAGCTCGCAGACTTGAAAGTCGGTCCCGAGACAGTCCGGAGACCGACAAAGGTCGATTGGGGCCGGTCAATGTTCGTTGAGGGGCGGGGCAGACCAAAGTGGGCGGAGTTTGTTGCCAAACTTGTAAAGTGTTTATAGGAAGTTCTAGAGATTGGGAAAAAAGTGGATAGAGGCTGGCGAAGGAAAGGAGTTCAATTTTCATTGGTGGGTGGATTATGCATTCAAGTGGACCCGTTTTGATACCAAGCGTACAGGGGCCAAAAAAAGAGTCACTTTGCCTATGGCGCACATCATCAAATTTTTCGTCGCACAGGATGCGTTAATGAATGTTTTACGGCAGAATATTCCTTAGGTGTCCCCCCATAAGCAGAAGCAGGCCCTCCTTCACTGCCCCACCGTCTTCAGAATATGACGTCATCTGCCGTCACCGTCGAGCTCAACGAGGCTTACCGTAATCGCTCCGGCCTGAAGCTGCTACATAATTTCTTCAATGGATTAACTGGTTAATAGCTTCCCAGAGACACTAGCTGTGAATAATGCATGCACCGAAATAGGCGGAGTTTACGACGACATTTATAAATCGGTCTAGAGGCAGTCCGGAGACCGGGAAAAAGCGGATAATGGTTGCGAAGAAGGAGAGGTCAAAAGCTGTCGATGGAGCGGATAGAATTAGCTCAGAAGTCAAATATTCGTAGTGTATCGGGCCAAATTGAAAATTTACGCCGCACCATCAATATCGCCGCAGAACTGTGTTGCGCGCGCAACGCGTGCTGCGCCAACTGGTTGAACAATAATTTGTTGAAGAAATTCTCAAATGCGAGTTTTTAGAAAGTTTGTGGGTAGAAGTTTCATTATGTGGCGCAGTGTACTGTTGCTATTTATTCTTCGCTTAGATTCTGTTCCATGGAGAGTCGTTGAATGGCCTCGTTGAGTTGCCCTCTGACCCATTCGCAGCGCTCACAAGCGCCACAAATCTCGCCGCAGGACAGTCGTCTTCGTCCATCTGTCGGTTTTGTGGGAACGCGCTCGACCCTCATAATCAGGTATCAACAAATAAGCTGATGTCAGAATGCGAATCGAGCGACTTCAAAAATCGCTACTAGCGATTCGCTAGCGTCCGCGGTCGCGTTGCGGTACCAGCCAATTGAGTGATTCACTGGCCGCGACGCGACCGCAGACGCTAGCGAATCGCGCGATTCGCAAAGTCTGACATCGGCTATAGTCTGTTACTGCGATGAACCACTGCAGTTTTTTCTGTTTGGCATAAATGCAAAAGCATAAATCCTTACTAATATATGAATGGTTTAATAAACGCTCGAGCTTCATCTTCCAGTTAGTTGGTGTTTGCTCGCATCCGGATTGTGTCCGATTTTTGGCAACCGCTTGCCGTCGTAACCTGCCCTGTGGACATCCATGTGGAGGTATCGCTGGCGAGAAGGAATGTCTGCCATGCCTCGTGTGCAGCAAGGAAGGTAAAAGCTTTTGGCTGGTACTCATTGATCCATACACAGTGTATTAGCTTGCGAGGACACAAAGAGTGTGAAGCCGATGTCAGACTTTGCGAATCGCGCGATTCGCTAGCGTCTGCGGTCGCGTCGCGGCCAGTGAATCACTCAATTGGCTGGTACCGCAACGCGACCGCGGACGCTAGCGAACTTTGCGATTCGCAAAGTCTGACATCGGCCTAAGGGATACCATTAGTTGTCCAGTCTCTCCTACCGCTATTCATAGACGCCTATTTTCCAGATGCGGCTCAAGATGGCGACGACGTGTGCGTCGTGTGCTTCACGGATCGCCTCTGTGCAGCGCCTTGTGTACAGCTCGGATGTGGACATCTACTGCACTACCACTGTGTGCGTGCAGTGCTCGAGAAACGCTGGCCGGGCCCTAGAATTCAATTCCGCTTTATGAACTGCCCCTTGTGTAACGTGCAGGTAGGCGCACTAGTCGCATTGAAAGCGGCCTTCCAACAAAGACTATTTCATAAATTTTATGTTCAAATTCAGATGTCACATTCTGGCCTAGCTGATTTGCTTGAGCCATTGTTGGCATTGAAAGCCGAAGTGACTCAAAAAGCGAACATGCGGCTTGAATTCGATGGCCTCCTGGGCTGCACTGCCCTAACCGATCCTCAGAGGTGAGATCCCTCTAGTTTTTATCCTTTTCGATTTTTCTAACAATTTTCCTTATCGGTACATTCACACTGCTATATCCTTTTATATGCAAAAACATAGGAGTGAATGAATTCGAAGAAAGGATTTCTAGTGAATACTTCGGTCGCCCAGAAGAATACGCCGTGGATCGGTACATGTACGTGCTGTGTAACATCTGCCAAAAGGCGTACTTCGGTGGTGAGAGTCGTTGTCAAATGGTAAGATTTTTTTCTTGAACATTTACGCAGACGTATTGCTAATGGTATCAACCGAATCCCGTGAAACTGAAGGCATTGAACTTACACAGAGCCGATCGTTTGGCATTGCGGATAGCACTCTTGAGCATTGATACATTCTCAGCTCACCTACATTCGTTGCTGTCATTGGTCTATGGACTCTCTGATGTTAGCCCACCACTCTGATCGTCGTTTCAATTTCAAATACTGGCCATCTGTGCTCACCTACCGAATTATCATTGGAAATGCTGAAGGCACGGTTGCGCTGGATGGTAGACCCGGACCTTGAATGGGGTCTAGAGGGTCAACCACTCAGGGAGAGGGGCGCGCTGGCGAATGCACCGTTCTTTTGCTTTTCGATTGTTTGCTGATCCTAAGTATTCCGCTCTCAGCGCAGTCTTCAGTCTTCATACATTAAAAAATTGAAGGCGGATTTTACGATGAAAAGGTAACTTATTCGAAATAAGGATAGGATGGTCAGTGGAGCAGGAATGAAGGAAGAAACCATGAGAAACGGCCCGAAACCCGAGAAATGGGACCCCTTCCTTGCCCGTTGATTTCCGCATTGATGCGACTCTCATCGTTGTGCCCTCTTCAACGCTAACGCTCTCTGCTATCTAATCACTCGCCGCGTATAGACCTGCGGCGAGTGATTAGATAGTCGGTGGGCGTTCCGGGCCAACTGCGCCAAGGGAAGGCCATGCTAGATCGCCGGGGCATATCCTTCGATGCGAATTGCGTGTTGGTCCGCACCCTTAGGAGGTCCGCCTGTCTCTCCACTAGGTAAGTTTCCTTTTTTCGAACTTCGTTTTTATCGTGGAATCCTCTTTTAATCGATCTGAGTCTGCACTGCAACTAATTCCTTAAGGCAGCCGTGTCCGGTGTCGTCATTGATCTGGATTTTATATTTTTATTTCATATATTTTATGTCTATGTTTTTATGTTTTGAATTTTTGCTCGAAACAGGACTATTAAGGAAGCTATTCATTGATTCCATTCATTGATTCGCAGTTTTTTTTTCATATTTTTTTGCCCCGTTTTAGGCTCTCCAATCGTTTCAATACAACGCCGCTGAGCTGGTCTGTGGTGGATGCTCTGCGCCGGCGGGTACTGAGGTTTGCGGCCGTCACGGTGCTGAATATCTAGAGTACAAGTGCCGATATTGCTGTTCCATTGCCGTCTACTTTTGGTAGGTGTGCTTCTTCTGCTTGGTACTGCTCAACGAAACCTGTTTATTGCTTGTGTTTTTAGCTTCGGTACAACGCATTTCTGTGCAGCTTGCCATGAAGACTTCCAACGTCTCGTCTGTCTGCCTCGGAACCAATTCCCCCCATGTCCAACTGGTCCCAGAGCGACTCCGGGTGAAGGACCGTGCCCATTGCGACGACCACATCCACCGGCTGGCGAGGAATTCGCGCTCGGTTGTGGCATATGTAGAAATATCAGCACTTTCTAGGCATCGTTGTTGTTTAGTGTTCTCAGCTGTTTCCACTCAAGTCTCGATAGGCTTTGATAAGTTACTCATTCTGATTACGGAACTTACTACTAGTTGTTTTCCACAAATTTTTCTGCGATTTCGAAGTGCATTTCATTTCAAGGAGCGTACAATTCTGTTTTCACTTTTGTTATTTTATAAGTACACATGCGGATTTGTTTCCCGGATATTTGTCATTTTGCTCGGTTGCCAAGGGCAATGTTGCCTGCAACAATGTAAACTTTGCATGTGATCTCATTCTTCACGTATAATGCGATCTTAACGGGTATAATTTATTAATGATACTTTCATTGTGGTTAATTCGGTTTGTAAATTTTTCAATCGCAGTGTTACTACATGTGTCATATTTGTCGCTGGTGAAGGACCAGGATACAGTACCAGTGGAGTCTAGTTATGAGCTCCCCTTCAGGTCTCCGCCATGATGTGTGCGGAAATTGTTGCGTTAGGTCGTTCGGAATGTGCTCGTGGATGTTCGTTCTGAGCGAAATATCAATTGCTGGAGTCGAGTTACAAATGTATTGAAAAAGCTTCACAAAAGTGCAAACCTTTTGGCGGATTTTCCGCGCTTAGCGCCTTCGCGAAACTTGAAATAGGTTATAAGTTTGAGTTAGTGTGCTTTTTCAATTTGTTTGAACCTGTATTAATGGCGAAGTTATCATGAAAAGCAATCCATTTCAACTACTTAAGGGATGGTGAGTGGTACAAGAAAGAAGGAAAAACCATGAGAAACGGCCCAGAACCCGAGAAATGGGACCCCTTCCTTGCCCGTTGATTTCCGCATTGATGCGACTCTCATCGCTGTGCCCTCTTCAACACTACGCTCTCTCTGCTATCTAATCACTCGCCACGTATAGACCTGCGGCGAGTGATTAGATAGTCGGTGGGCGTACCCCGCCAACCGCGCCAAGAGTGAGCCATGCTAGATCGCCGAGGTCAAATCTTTCGCTGCCAATTGCGCGTCGTCAGCACCCTCAGGAGTCCGCCTGTCTCCCCACTATGCAATTTTCCCCTTCTTTGACCTTCGTTCTTAATAGTGAATTTCCCCTTCAGTTCACTGATTCTGTTGCCACTCACATGAATTCTCACCGTACTTTTACTGAGATGTGGAGCAAGTACTATTCTCTACTCCGATCTCACCCTTGTAGGGTAGTCTGCTGCGACCGCAGCGTCATAAAATATTGCATTCGTTCCGCAGTGGTGATCACAAGTTCGCGCCCTTGCAAGGGCGAGAATCAAAGCAGAAGTTGAGGAGAATCACTGACAGCCCTGGCTTTGCTATTTTATTTTCAGACTACTCACATCTTTTTCATTACAGCCTCATTATTTTCTTTTCACTACATTTCGATGGGACGGTGTGAAGGTTGGTGGTAAGGCTAAGAGCCTCCTGCGTGTATGTTCCTGAGATCTCTGTTTGACAATTTCCGACAGGTGTAGAACAGGTGTTTCTGTCAACCTTTTGGAGTCGTTACCAAGCAAGGCGACCGCTTGGGAGTTTTATCCGTTTATCCACGTCTTTGTATCATTCTGAATATTTCTTTACGCATAAATTCTACTGGTTCATTGAAATATTCATTCCCATTGGGGAAAAAAAAAGCCAATACCCGTCCACGTTTCCTTTGACTCATAGAACAAACATTGGAGTACGTCAGCAGTCACTCTAAGTAGCGTTGACGCTAATAGCGCCGTAATTGAGAGCACCGAGATTCGAATCCGCCATTTCTTTCGGAAAAAAATTTTTTTGTCGCGGAACACGTGGTTGTAAGTGAACGTTGGTCGCAAAAAGTGTTTGTGAGAGTGCTCTCAGCATCGTTTCATGCAGCTGGTACCACTGAGTGCAAATAGTTATTGCACATGAAAGCCAGCATCTCCTTGAGAACAATCGGTCGCACCCATTCGTAACAGGTCAACCGTCCGTTCGCGCTATTCACGAAGGGGTCGCATTTTGGTCATGGGCCGAGGGAGGGGTCGCAATTTCAAGGACCCGCAACCGAAATCGCGACGGTAGTTGATCGGTGGATGAAGGACTGGGGAGGAACGCTCACAAAGAACATGAAGTTGTCATAAACTCAAAATAATTATTCTTTCCAGGCTCGCCCGTTTCGTCCTGTGTTTCTCCGCGTGAATTACTATACATCGTAAAAAACTTTCTGTCTTCAGCAAAGCTTTTAGGGAGAGCTCGCTTCGTCGCATCAGAGCGTGGTAGCAGTGCCAAAAACTGAGCAAGTCCGGGTCATAGCAAGATGAAATAGACTTCCAAATGCCAGCCACAGGCGCGTGCGTGGCGTATCCGAGGGCAAGACTTGCTTGTGCAGACCGCATTAGATTCGATTTATTATGCACAGAGAGACAGTTTTAGGCAAATTACGGTGTTTTCTTGAGGAATAAAGAACAGTTGAATGCATCCCTATGAAAGGTTTGACTTCTCGGGGCTGAAATAAAGTTCTTCGGGACCTAATTTTTTGGGGACGATTCTTCCAGACAACTGTAAAACACATAAGGAAGCAGAAATCTCGTAGTCTTCAAAAATGTCTTCGCCCCTCCCAACAAGCTTTTTGAAGGAAGTTGCTGAAAGCTCAAAAACTCGCATGTGCTGCTCAAAAACCTATGGGAACAAAATGTTCGAACGTGTGATTTTCTCGAAAAATGAACTTTGAAAAGGTTGGTGCTTGTTAGAAAGAGCAATCCTGTACTTTCACCCCATGAAAAAAGTGCATCACAGAAATGAAAATGAAGTGAGTTATGGTCGCTGAAAGCCCAAAAACTCGCTTTTGCACGGAAAATGTTCGAACGGGACAATTTTTTGAAAAAGGGGTCAATCACTAAACTTTTATACTGTTTTGTAGAGTATTTGAAGTTTCTGAAACTTTTTACAGCTTTCCAAAATGTCGCATACGAAAGATTTTATGGGCCTTCAAAGTTGAAGGTGCGCCTTCTTAGAATTTTGGGTTTTCCACTTCTAACAGAAGTACTTTCCGGAGAGTTAGGCAATCCTTGTAGTTTTCTGAAAGCGCACCTCAGGCACAGTCAAAATCTACCTCAACAAGTCAAAAAAATGTCCAAGAAAGTTATTCCCCTCTAAAGTTTTTCTTTCTCCGCGTCCCGTTCTCTCACCGTCTGGGTGATATCCTGCCAAGGCCAACGCCGCACGCGCCTGGACTCCCTTCAGAGGGGGGGGGGGTCGCAAAAATTTTGGGAAACTGCGAACGTGGCGATTGACTCTGATTCGTAATACAATTTTCGGGATTATCCCTCTCATACTTCGAGACCAAAATTTATTGACGCTCAATGAGAATTAAGCTCTTAAAAATTCTCTGCAGGCTAGGTTCACTCAGAACCTTCTTACCTTTATCAGCCTTTGGCATCCAGCCTCCACCCTTGTCACCTCCGGGGCTATCAACAAAGAAGCGATGTGGATGATCGTTGCACAGCAATCTATTGTGGACTCGACAGCAAATATGTACGTAGTCGATATGGCGATTCCCCCGCTTCTTCCCGGCCTGCATCTAGCTGAATGATTAAAATTGTGCAGGATGTTCTTTAGATTATGTTGCATGTAAGGCTTCGAGGAGTATAGAGAAAGTGCTTCGATGTGAGTTTGGCAAGTTGAAGTTGAACCAAAGTTCGCTGAACGTTCCAGTACCGATAGGACCAGGCTTTGATTTTTAAAGTCTTACATGAACACGTTATGAAATACGGCCGCTTCAAGTGAATTTTTTTCGGAATAAAGCTAGCATAATGATAGTAGCACTACCATTGGACTGTGTCGTAATAGTGTAGCGCCATTTGTACGCTTTTGTTATCGTCAGCCACCTGGAGAGGGCTTTTCACGGACGCGACTGTCGTTACGGGTAAACTAAACTAAACTAAACTTTGATCTTAGCCAAAAGGCCGAGAAGCGGGTAAGGGTTTAGACCGCTACGAGTGCGCCGTTCGTCCTTCCAAGGCTCGGTCCACATGGGGCATAGCCCCTCCTTTCAGCAAGCAGATTCTCCTTCTCTACAAACGGTTATCCTTACCCACTTTCTCATAATGTGAACCATGGGACTGATCGGATTGCTTTTGACGGTATACGGTAATGGTATATTTATAGAGCGCTTTGTTTCCCTTTTGCATTTTAATCCCTGGAAGGCTGAAGCTCTAGAGATGCACAAAGAAGTAGGAAAATTTTCTTGGGTTCTGCTGTGTGTAGCACACGTGTTCTGGAAGGTTTTTCCTCGAGCGAATTCAGAAAGGCATGTGACTACAACAAGGAGTTTAGAACGGCTAAGATACGGATAAAATTCTCACCTTTTTTGCATTTTAGCACATGTTCATGAGAAAGGAAAAAAGAACCACAATCCCATGGCGATGTCGTAATATACGGGGGCATTTTGCAAGCGCCTGTCCACATTCGGTCATAAAACGTATAAGCGTAGTACATGTTCAAACGTGTCAAGTAGTAGTTTGAGGTCCAGATAGGAGAGCGAATGCTTCATCTGGTGCCAAGGGTAAGCTTTTCGAAGAAAGGAAGGGATGATTTTAAGGGGCTATATTGGAACATTGTGGTGTCAATTAAACACGTAAAACTCTCCTTTCTGTAAAAAATTTGACTATGCCTTGGGTGGATGAAGGGCCCCATTTTTTCAATTCCACGACTTTCCTGTCCCCTACTGGGCTTTGCTCTGGAGGATGCACTCTTATCTTGCGAAGGCGCCTGAAAGGACTGGATGTTAAAAAAACCAGCGGGAAAGCGAAGGAATGAAACCGCTGACATACGGTGAGAATATACACATTCAAATCCGTTCTAAGCTTTAGCCAGATCTCAGCAAGTATACAATCACGACTTAACCAGAATGCACACAGACAAAATGCCCCGTATATTGTGATAGCGCCAACCCCACAAATCGAATGCTGATGGCAACTGTCTGCCTTCTTCCCAAGTGAACATCGTCAAGAACCGCACATCGGGGAAATACCGTGAA